CAGTTTTAAGAAATACTTAGCTCATTGTTGTGAGAGATTTCTGTTTTTAAATGTGACGATAAAATGACTTTATTATCAGAGGAATTTTTTTCGAGTGTTCTTCCTGTGTGCGTATTTGGAGTACTTTTGTTACACAGCAGCAATCTTGAACTACGTCCAATTTATGGAAAACGCAGTTTATCCAAGTTTGTAATGAAGAGACGTGTTACATGCACTGAACTTCTGATGTTAATCAGTTTATGTTGCCAAGAAGTTGGTTTTCTTGCATATTAGTCATGGCAGTTGGAGACGGACGCTGCGTGACGGCAAACATACAAGTGTAGCTGCCTGCATTAAACGTCAAAAAGATTGTCGCCAGACCTTCTTCTCAACAAATTCTTCATTTCATATATTATTCATGGCACTTGAGGGATTTCAATTCATAGTTGATTCTTCCATTATGTTTGGGAGTTTCTTCATCATTCTGGGCTCTATACCCATGCATGTTTAGTCATTCATAAGTTTACTTATAACATTCTCTACCAATAACTCATTGAAAAGCAAAGCACTGCTTGAACTTGAACAGGCTGAAAACACGCTAGCAATAAGCCGCCTATAGAAGGCTTCTGGTCAGTGGCGTAAAATATATGTTGTAAATTGGTGGATGGAAGATAGGGAAAGGCGGGGGTGACTTGTCTAGCCATAGAAATGTGAAGGGGGGACAACACCATTATACTCTATAGGGCCTATTGGGTGGTGTTCATGATAAAGATATACATGTATATGTGTACTGTACCAGAAAATTATGAAGAATCTTTCATCAGAATGGCATATTTATGTTTTTTTAAATTTTGCCTTTCCTTTTTAGTTATAATGCAAACATTGTAGTCTTGGGAAATCCTGTAAATTCTTTATAATTGCTTTATTATTATTTATTTATTTTTTATTTATTAACTTTTTTTTGCTCATCACAAAAAAGTGTGGGGGACAAGTAGGCTTTTGTCCCTATCTGGTTCTTCGAATCATTCTTAAACGTAGCTTCATTACAACTTACCTACTCTTACTTTTGAGTGGTTAGGTCAGTAAAAGCTGTCGTTGTTTGGTGCTGGAGTAGGCCTATTCGACTTTATGTCCAGGCCAGAGACGTTTCACAGCGCAGCAGTGACGTGAATAGGGCGAATATCTGAGGAGCTTATAGTGCTATGTATAAAAGGGACTATTTTGTCTGCGGAAGCTTACTAGGTTATCGGGTTTCCCGGGTTGTCGTGGGCAGGCGTTCATACAATAACCCAACAGTACAGTAGCACCGGACGTATCTCTAAGCCCAGCTTTTGTCCATCACACTACATGCATGGTGGCAGCGGTGGAGAGAATCGTAGAACACGCCAAAACCGAAAGAACTCTGAACGACCAATCTCGGCAACGAGACAATAGCCTCGCAGACATGGCGAACAACCGACCAGTGCAAGTAACGTTACAAGGTGTAACTACCTACATCTGCGCACAGCCATACACACTGGACAACGCAGCCTACACGGACCGAGAATCGTTGCACAACACGCCTGAATCAGCGTCCACATGTCAGACTTTCCCTTACTGAGAGACGGAACCCAGCGGCGATCAGCGTCCGGAATTCCCCCAACCAAGCGGCGATCAACGTCCTTAGCAACAACCGGCGTCCAAATTTCATTGGGCAAAAAATGCAGGAAGACGAGAGGCAGGAGCAGAGAGCGCAGGAAGGCCAAATCCACAAAGACACGCGGCCAATAAAGCACATCGAGAGGACGGAAGTGCCGAAAACCCAGATCAAAAAGTGGTTCCCGTGCCGGAAAACAAAAGGCAGATGACACGAGCGACGCGATAGCCATGCCGTCCACTCATTGCAGTACCAAAGTGAAGTTGAGGCAGTATTTACCAAAGTGAAGTTGAGACAGTATTTCACACACTCGCAGTCTCTGATCTGTGAATGAGTTCATCAGTAGAGCACATGCATCGGAAACGAAGCATACACAACACTAAGCATTATCTGCCCAGACCTGGGTGGAACCTGTCGTCTGTGGACTACGGTTGACAACGGTGCTGTGGTAGCACACTACGCACGATTCGTCAGATATATGGACGTTAGAAATCTCTGTCCCGTTATAAGACGACAGGGTGGAGTAGCAATAACGTCTACATTGTTGACATCCCTGGGCCAGCTTTCGCTGGCCTGCCAACGTGTTGTGACCTCAAAATAGTCACCATACACTCCTCGGAGATGCCGCCCGCCGGAGATGACCCTCTTGCATCCCCACCCCAACAGCGATAACTGACTCCCGTCAGAGGTACACCAAAATCAGTGGTTGACCTCTTGAAGATGTACCCCAAGCAGTTTGACACCACAGGGAATTCTATGAGTTAAGCAACCCTACATCGGAGGGTGCCAAAACGAGCATAGATGCACGAAGGAAGTGCAGTGTTCACCTGAAATCTAAATTAAAGGCTGAACTGGGCAGGATGGAGCAGCAAGGAGTAATTCCAAAAGTTACTCGTCATATGGACTGGTGCAGTTCCATCACCATAAATCAGAAGTAAAATGGATCACTGCGCGTGTGCTTCGATCCTAAGCGATTGAACCAGAGCCTCAAGAGGTGTCCGCACAAATCCCTACACTTGAAGAGCTCAATTCCGAATTTTCGAAGGCCAAGTACTTTTCCAAGCTTGACGCCAAAGCTGGGTACTGGGCAGTAAACTTTGATGAGAAAACACAAGAGCTGACTACTTTCTGGACACCTTTCGGGCGTTTTCGTTTTCAATGCATGGACGACAACATCAAATAGGTGCCTGGGTGTGTCAGTATAGCAGATGATATCGCGGTCTACGGCCTTTCACAGCATAGGGGCGCGACGCAAATCCCATCAGTCTGTTTGAGACGGCACGACGTGACGGACTGGTGTTCAATAGTTTAAACTGTCGCATCAAGGTCGCAGAAATGAACTTCTTTGGTTTTCTATACTCCTGCAACGAGTCCATCCAGACCCAGACAGAATCGAAGACATCCACAATTAACATCCCAACACCCAAGGACCAGAAGGGCTTGCATAAATTTCTGGGGATAATCACCTTTGTCTCTCGATACATCCCTAACCTGTTGGATAAAGCAACATCCCTCCGAGATCTACTAAAAAAAAATGTCCCTTTCATATGACAAGAAGACCAGAAGAGGCAGAATTTGTTGCACTGAACCTCTCTACCATGGCAGAAGCCTACGCAGTACTACTAATTTCCCGTGGTGCCCATAGTGCTGAGGTAGACGCATTGCAATTTCTCGGAGCCTGCAAAATGACAAATCGGTAGCGTTCGCATCTAAAAGCCTCTCACCAGCACAGAGAACTACTCCAACATCGAGCGTGAGATGCTAGCCCTAGTGTTCGAGATCATTAGTTTCCCGGCACAACTACCTTTTTGCTAAGTAGTTCATCGTCCACACCTATTAAAGCCACTGGAGATTATCTGGGGAAAAGATTGGCCAGTGCACCACCCTGCTCACAATTAAGGTCAAGACTACAACTTTGGAGTAGTATACAAACCAGAAAACATCATGATCCTATCAGATGCACTCAGCAGATTGCCGAGATCCCGACAAGGCGCATGATGTCCCTCGTTGGAAATATCTTCATCAAAGATGGGCCTGATGTCCAACAGATAGACTTTACCAACTTCGAATTCGGTCAAACAAAACAAGACCAACTCCAACTCCAGGCAGAAACTGCGCGGGACCACAGTAATCTACACAGGATGGCCAGACACCATCTCTGAACTAACCAAAGATCTACGTCCCTGCCTACTGGTCACACCAAGATGAACTGGGTATTTCATGCGGAGTTATCTTCAAAGAAAGACAGGTCATCGTACCAAACCGCTTCAACAGGACATCCTGCTACAGCGGCATGCAGGCCACATGGGAATTCGGAATCGATAAGACAGACGTCTTGCGAGAGAGTCAGTATACTGGCCAAACATCAACCGTCACATAGACGACAAAGTCAACTTGAAGTTATGTACCTTCTGCCAAGAGGCTCAAACCGAAACAGCAGAGAGACCCCCCAGAGCCACATGATGATACATCGTCAAGCCCTTGGATAAAGGGACTTACATGCTTGAGGTGAATGGAAATGGCTACCACTCCAAGTGCCCAGTCGTCCACAAGATGACAAGTACAACTAGCTCAGCCGTGGCAGGTGGCACGTCCCGCACATTCAGCATACTTGGAGTACCTGCCAAAGTAGTACCGACACAAAAGCTTAGACAAAATCGAGCACACCTTCGAGAGATGTATCACCCAAGTGCCTAAACGATGATATGTCTCCGTCACCAACCAAAAACCCGGCACCAAAAAACGTCACACACTTCTTAGAATCCTGAGTACGAAACAAAAAGATCAGGTCGCTCTATCTGTAAACCAATCAGATACACCAACCACCAACAATCCATGTACATGTAACCACAACTTCATGAAGAGAGATGAATCTACAAACTTTTAGATTTAACAAGACACTTAAAACTGATTCTGGACACATTTGTTTCGCCATATTTACGTTCCCATGACCTTCAAAAGAGGAATGCTAGATTCGAATTGTCCAAAACTGTACATTAATTAACATGTATTTTGACTATTTTTTTTTATTCTGCAACCACCTATAGGAGTAAAACAAATTGTTGCTATTCATATTACTGTGTGTGTGGCGCTTAACCCATCATAGATTTCAGACCTCTAACTCCTATAGTTCCTATTATACTTTCAAAAGGGGGCCAGGGACAGTTTTGTCTGCGGAAAGGCTTACTCTATTAACGGCTATGCTTCCCGGTCTGTCGTGGGGCAAGAGTTCATACAATAAACCAACACTACAAATGTGACTGGACATAGGCTTTCCAAACTTTCCATCATTTTGTCCATCACACGTACTTTAAGGTTATGTACCAATCGATGCGCATGATATTCTCAAGGGGATAGTGGAAGGCCAGCAGTGGTACAATCTTTAATCGTGGCTAACCCCCATAAAAATTGAAAAGAAAAGTCATAATTTTGAATCGGGACCAACCTCTGCCCGTGAGTCGACAGTAGGCGCCACTTTGGTCTAAGTTTGCACTCGGTTTTCTATGTGCACGTATTTGGAGAAGTGATCCTCCCCCCTCCAAATAAATCAACACTTGAGGGCGCACTTCGCACCACCGCCATTACCATTTTGCATTGTCACGAGCCGTCCGTTCCGTCGACGTCCTGTATGTGTGCGTGCTACATTACATTCAGAAAGTGTTAATTCGAGCAGTTTTAGTTGAAGCTCCCAACCAAATGTCTCGTTACGATCGAGCTATCACCGTTTTCTCTCCAGATGGCCATCTCTTTCAAGTGGAGTATGCACAGGAGGCGGTCAAAAAGGGCTCTACGGCTGTGAGTTTTTTTGGGGTCGACTTGCTTGGGGTTTCGTTTGTAAACTTCGGGACCCCCCTGTTCTTAGTTAGGCCTACTACTAGTTTTAGTTTTTAATGATAAAGGTCGGCCCCTAAAAAGAGTGTTTCTCGAGCAGTGTCTCTTGATTGTCGTGACCCTATTTGGGTTACATTTGGAAGATTAAATCAGGAGAAAAAAGGTGACTTTCTTAATACCTATGTCTGTCATTGTCAATATGGGCCCTGTAGGCTGTACACTGATGAATGCAAAGTCAACTGGACACAAATGCACATGCAGCCATAGACCTTTGACATTGTAGGGCTGTTCTCTATACTCTTACTCCTTGATCTGCCTTTCCCACGTTTCCAACCAATCAGAGATTGACATCTTAAGGAAACTTTCCAGTATCCAGTCAGTGACACTTAAAAATTGCACAAGTGCAACTTGCACAATTTTCCTTGTGCAGTTTTTATTTGGTTGCGCATGCATGTATTTAAAGTCTGCACAGATAACATTGGGAGCAATCTTTGAATGTGTGCAATTTTTGTGCCTCAAACTGTGCGATTTTTAACCCCTTCACGGCAGGATTATTTTGACCGCGACTGCTGGGCTGTGATATGCCCTGAATGGAGGGCTTTGTCCAGCAGCAGGCCCCATTGAACCAGCAGCTGCATGGTGGATAGACTGTATCGCTAATCCTCACCCAATGGTGCAGTAGTAGTAGTCCTCCGTAGCGAAGGGGTTAATGGGGATTCATGATGGCTAGCATTCAACCAGGCCCAGCTTGCGGCGCCAGGATGCCCATTCCCTTTTAAGTCTCCAGCTGTCTGGCACCAGTCAAGCTGGGAAGCTGTCCCTAGAGCATGGGGAATTTGTGTATAAAATAGTAGATTTTTTGGTCTTTTCAAAACACTTATTTTCCTCTTTTTATTGCATATATTTTTCTAATTAATGTGACTCTAAGAATTTCCTGAATTAAATGCCAATAAGGTTATTTGATAGCTCTCGCAAGTAGTTTTAGAGGGGAACAAAGTCCTAAGTAAATGTTGACGGGAATTTATTTGGCCTCAAGAGGCAATATTCACAGAGCTACCAACCAGTATGATTTTATCGTATTTCGTATGATTTTTCAGTGACAATACGACACTACGATTTTTCTCACTAAAATATGATTTACAAAAAAGTAAGCTTTGTACTTGTAGATCTTTTAGATTTTTACCTATTGTTTGGTTTGAAAATTGACATTTTTCACGAGTTAATTTCGCGCGGTAACATCAGTCGTCGGTGATTTTAGAAATGCCATGCAAACACATGCAATACACATGATGCGGTGTCCATCCACATGGCCCTCTGTTGTCCATTGTTGCTTTATTGGTGCAGTTCGTCTGTGCACCGTACGTAAACTGTGGATGTATAAGCAAAATCGGTCTGGTGCCCAGACTATACCTTGCACTCGCTCGGTCGTTCGCACACAAATCAAGCTCCAAGTTACATACATTTAACAGTGAAGAGAATATAGGATTTTTCAGCAAAAAAAGACTTTTAAGGTACAATCAAAGGATTTTTGGTCAAGTGAGGTTCGCAGATCTGTATTCATCAAAATGCTGGAATGGCGAAATTTCTTCTGGCATGTCGCAGCTCACGCAGCCGGCATGACATACATGTACCATGCCCCAGGCCCATGAGCCATCTTTACATGCAGCATGCATGTCACGGGTGACACAGACCCTACAAAGCCATGCATGTAGTTGATGTCAGTCTCTTACATACGACTGTTGCCTGTGGTTCATGGATCAAGGTAATTTTCATCACTGTGTGCAATGTTTATGGCTATATCTTGTGGTTGTGCAAATTTTAGAAATTGCTCACAAAAATTTAAAATTTATACAATTTCAAAGATTGTACTCACAATGTGTATTACATTGGGTATGCATCAGACCCCCGGGCCCACCCACCAACATGAACAATGGCCAAGCTTGCACCCCATCTTGGTTCAACCATTTTCAATAAGCAGGGATTATCATCTTGACTTGTTTTCATTGCGTGACCACCATCAGGACCTGGCATGTGTTGTGTAGCTGTGACAGACTGCAAGATCGTAGACCCCCCGCCTCCAAAAATGGAGTGTCCCCATTGCTGAGGTTCCCCCAAAAGAAGATTGGAATTTTCCCAAAGCGTGAAAGTCAATACAGCATGTATTGACAATGTTACCAGTTCCTAAAATTTATTTTCTGTGCCTTTGGCCCTCTGGTTGTCTTAAAATCTTGAAGTACTTTGAAGCAATGTTACCCAAGAACTTTTGCATTGCCTTCTCCAAAAACATGAGTCTCCCATAAGGAAGATATAATCAAATATTTGATTAATTCATTAGTGAAATTAAGAAAAGAAATCATTACTGTCAATTTCAGAAATTAATCTGTCATGGTGTATATTTATTCATGTATGATTCTGCAATGTACATGTATGTGTACGTCATAGGAAGATTTTAGTTATGGAATTTTGTGTTCCCGTTTGTGTCCACTGTAGGTTGGGGTTCGTGGTAAAGACATAGTTGTACTCGGCGTGGAAAAGAAATCCGTCGCCAAACTTCAAGAGGAGAGAACAGTCAGGAAGATCTGCATCCTGGATGATCACGTGTGCATGGCTTTCGCTGGTAGGTATGAAAAGTATGGCTAACTCCCCACACAGACTTATCTCAGAGCAGGTGGCCCGTAATTGGATGACTGGAAACTCTACCACATGATTGATGCTGGTAATTTACTGCTTGGCAAGATTGACAAGGCTGCATGTACATGTGTATTCACTAGTCCTGTGGAATGATGTTGCTACTGTATCCTATGATGATTTACCGGCTGGGACTCTTCCATCTTGGGATAGGATAGTTGGTCTTTATTTACTAGATCTTATCAAGGACCATCAGAAATGGTGCAGATGCGGGATTCATATGCAGCTAGGAAGAACTGGTCGGTTATATCACCAATTTCTCCAGGTATTTAAAAAACCAGTGTGTGTATGGCAGCATATTGAAGTGAAACGTACATTGCTAACAGTGCCTCGGGTAAAATAACCACACCAAAAAACCACTCAGTTTTTCTAAGCAGCGTACATGTATCCCGTACACATACCATTTCCAGTGGTCCCTAGTGAGCGCAAATGCAAGTGACTGACCTTGTCAACTCTGTAGTACAAATGCACGCACACATGCTTGTACTTTGTATGGTGTTAGATTTCTAGCCAAAGTATTTTTGGGGACAAATACACAACAAAATGGGAACCACCTTGTGATGTGAAATTCAATACGTGCATGTGTTGCTTCCCCAGGCCTCACGGCAGACGCTCGCATTATCATCAACCGAGCCCGCATTGAATGTCAGAGCCACCGGCTGACCGTGGAAGACCCTGTGACAGTGGAGTACATAACACGCTTTATTGCCCAGCTGAAACAGGTGAATTGACACCTGTTGATCTTACTACACTGTTGAATAGTTGGATGAACATCCAACTTGCCTTGGAATGAGTAGTAATACTGATTCATGAAAAAATCAACACAGATTACGCACATATGCTGCCCTTTCTTCTGAGGCATGTCTTTCAGCAACACTTCTGAATTTCTCAAAATCCTGCACTATGCAAAAACCGAGTGGCGCATTCTTTGTAAATTACACTATTTATTAATTTTATTTAGAGAATTTTTCCTGGCAAGAAATATCGACAAATGACAATACATTGGTAAAAATTACAAATTATAAGATAAGACCAACAAATGGAGACTGCAGACACAAAATTGTATAAATATATACAGTAAAAAGAAGAAGCTTGAACAAAACCTGTTGAGCAACACAAAACAGAAACCCAAATTGACAAAATTGTGCCATATGCAGGCCTGCAGGATTGCCTGAAAAGCCAAATTAAGCACTCCGACTGCATCCGTACAATTTTGAAAAACAAACGAAAAGAAAAAGACATTACAAGAAAAGATCAGAAACACCCTATTATTAAAATAAGTAGTAAAACCCACAGAAAATGGTTGCAAGTGCCTTTCCACGAATAGACCACACGATCAATACAAAAAGGAAGGTACATTTAAAAGATAAAACCCAACCACAAATAACGCAAACCCATGCAGAGAAGCAAGCCAAGGAAACCCAGCTCCAGCAGCGCCTGCATGGTCCATCCACAGAATGACACTTAACCCTAACTGCCCAAAACCCGCCATACTCCAACAGCAGGTTTTGTGAGGTTTTGGCAGGTTTGGTACCGTACCTGAGG